TAATATATCAAATCCATTAATCAAATATATAATATATTTCAAATGAATCATTAAAACAATATACACAAACTTTCCACACTTGGTCAACTGGGCCCGCGGGCCCACGACATCCATTTTACGATCCGAAAGTTCCTATGGGTTCCACAAGGTCTAGGATACACGTCCTGTAAGTTTGGTCCAGATCGGACGGCCGGATCGCTCACGATCGCACGATCGGACAGTTACTGAAATCCTAGCCCTAGGGTTGGCATTTCCGGAGTATCCGGGAATCCGTTTCACGATCCGTTGAATCCTACACGATCCTAAGGATGCCCAGGTTAACATATAATAAATTCAAGACCATCCAACGGTCCAAACCAATCGAACCCGGATAACGCGTAATAGGCGATATCCGTTCGAGACTCAAAACGGTATCCAAATTGAGGTCCGTAAAATCCTACGCGCTCGTGACGACCTAGGGGATCGCATTTGAATAAAATTCCCCTCTGATACAGTGCCCACGTGCCGCCACACGCGCTGGCAGCGCGTGGGTGTCCAAAGCGATATCGCATCGCCGGAAAATCTTAGAATCTCGGGCCAAGACTCCTGTCCTAGGTAATACACCTAATTTGGAGTCACTTTTGTTCTTGGACATACCCCAAAAAGTGACCGAAAGTGGCTGAAAACTGAGGTCGAAACTGGCAGATTTTTCAACTCGAAATTCGACTTGCCTACGCTAAAAATTAAAGTAATCCTACCCAACCATCAGCTAGAGCTCAAGGAATAGATGAATTTCCATACCTGGATCGCCAGATTTGGTTGCCGGAATCACCCGAACGAGCTCCGTGAAGTTTTGGGTAAAACCGGCGACATTTCTCGATTTTCCGGCGAAATCACAGCGGTTGGCGGCGGGGCCTGGCTGGGGTTGGAAGAGGACGGCGGCCCGGTCATTTTGGTACCGGCCCCGTCAACTTTGGTGGCCGGATGTGGTGGTGGCGGCCCAAAATCCGCTCGGATGAACAGTGCAGGGGGGGGGTCGCGCGCAGAGGGAGAAGGGAGGAAGAAGAAGAAGAAAAAAAGAAAAAAGAAAAAAGAATAAAACTGCCCGGTTACTGTAGCAGCACTGTTGCTACAGTACAATTTCAAATAAAATTCCGGCTTATTATCACAAAACGTCCCTGACGTTTGTGAAACTATCAGATTGCATCCTTAAAGTTTTTTTGTATCACTGACGGTCCCTAACGTTAATATAGATGCTCTTAAATAGTCCCTCTGTTAAAAAAATCGTTAAATCTCCAATTTTATGAGGGATATAATCGTCAACTCCCTTTTACCTCTCACCCTTCAAATATATTTCCTCGTGGTCATCGTCAACATCATCAGACTCATTTCTATGCTTGTTCTGAGAAATAGGGTTTTTCAGTCGTGGGAAATTGGGCGGTAAAGCTTCTGCAAAAGTGTCTGAGAGAAGATGGATGAGGCAAATGAGCGTTGGGAGACCGAGACCAAACCTACATTTTTGCACTCAGGGGTCTTGACCAGTGTAGAATCTCCAGATCCAAGCAATTGGAGATGGCAGCAAGGCCTACGTCACTGACCTGAAGCTTTTCTAGATGGATCTCAACCATGGAGGTGACTTGCTCTGCTATCACATGGAGAAGCTTGTCCCAATCGCCAGAGCACCTGAAAAGCTTCAGAGTCCTCAGATTCTTCTTTTTTCTCTGTTTTGTGCTTTTGGGCTTTATTGGTCGAGTGTAATAAAATAACACATGGATTTTTGTGGCATTAGTAGTTCTGGGAATTGGGTTTTACTTCTAACGTCTAATGCATTAATTCTTAGTTAATTTTTGTTTCTTTTTTGTTGTTTTTTGGTGTTGCAGAGTACAAATCAGAGTAGAAGAGAAGATTCAGAGCTCAGATTGAAACGACAAGTCGTCGGCAAGTGTGATCGTAGTATGCTTCTAGCCACGATGACGAAATGCCGGCAGATCGCAGAAGATTCGTTGTCGGCCTCCATCGGGCAGATCGCAGCCGTTGATTTGGGCTTGGAGCGATGACTGTCGCGGCAAAGCTTCTCGGCAAAAGTGTCTAGAAGTGATTTTTGATGGAAGTCATGTAGGGGTTAATGTGATGGAACTGAACGTTGTTGATGATATAATTGAATGTAGTTGAATGTGTTAGTTTATTCAATTTGTTCAACGTGTGTTGTTTACAGTTCAATTTGTTTACGTTATTCCCTTCTATTTTCACCCCTTACCTTTACCAATTCCAACAAGAAATGGAGGGAAATGGTTCCAAATTGGTGGCAAATGGGTCTAGGTCATTGAAGAGGTCAAAAGGATTGATTTGACGATTATACCCCTGAATTTAACAGTTTTTTTAACAGAGGGACTATTTAAGAACACTCATATTAACGTTAGGGACCACGAGTGATACAAAAAAACTTTAAGGATGCAATCTGATAGTTTCACAAATGTCAGGGACTTTTTGTGATAATAAGCCTAAAATTCCAAATACGTCCCTTTCGTTTTCAGACTTTTCCTCCTTTGTTACAAGTCGGAATTGGGCATGCCACATGTCTACGAACTCGTATTGACGAGCTCTACGCAACGGTACCACTCATTTTCCCAAAATCCTTCCGGATTAAAAAGTGACCAAAATACCCCTATCCCCAAGGGTAAAATTATAATTTCTTAATCTAATTAATTGGATATAAAAATTAGGGTCGGGGTGTTACATAAAATCTATGAAAACACAAAAAGAAAGTAAAAAGCTACAAAATGTCAAGAACTAACTCAAAATGTTAGGTGAATAACATGATAAATCATGTGTAAAAATGAATAGAACAAAGTTCAAATCTTCATAACTTTGTCAAGGTAGCCTTACCTGAACAGGTGGTAGAGATTGTGGATCCCGTTCTTGTTCTAGAAATATTGGAAGGTGAAATGAGCAAAAACAATCTTCCTAATGAGGATAGCGTTAGGATTCGCGTCAAATTTGAGAAAATCTTGATTTCAATTTTAGAAATTGGTGTTGCTTGTTCTACAGAATTTCCTGGTGAACGGTTGGACGTTACTGATGCTATGGCTGAAATGTGTCGCATAAGGAACAATCTTTAACAAAATAGACTGTTTGAATAAAGCATGTTATAATGCCATAGAAATGTGCAAATGTCGTGTGGGACATGTATGGAATATTAGAGTAAAAACATTAACTATGATTGTTGTATTACTGTTATTTTTCAATGCAATAAGTTAAAAATAACAGCACTTTGCTTTTTATATATTTTTCAAATGAAAAATGATTTTTTTCGACACCACACCCTAAGAAATGGGAATTTTTATTTTATTTTGTGGTATGGAGCTGCTATGATACAATTCAAAATCAGCCTTTTTCCCAATACTACCTTTTCGAAAGCGGAAAAACCAGCACTTATGGCACGTATTGCACACAGGAAGCAGATAAGAACCACTCTCGATCGTTCTAATTTTGTCCCCTTGTGCGAAGCAGATAAGAACCACCCTCGGTCATTCTAATTTTGTCCCCTTGCCATGACAAGGGGGAGCTAGGGCAGTCACTATTCACATGAATAGTGGTTGCCCTTGCAAATAGTATTGTGTGTTTCCACCCATTGCCATGACAAAGGGTAATTACTATTCATTTTTTTGTTTTTTTTCACAAATTGTTTACCTAAACAATTAATTTGGATAATATTTTCGGATAAGATTTTTGGGTTCGTATGTGTCAATATTTATTATAAAATTCATATCTCAATCGGATAAAATAATCAGTAATTTTTTTATAAAAAAATTGATTTTTTTTCATTTTTTTATTGCACAAAAATTGGCTGCCGTTGGATTGGAGAAAAAAATCTGATCAGAGAGCCCAGAGCGCGACACGTGGACTTTAGCGACACTGTAGCGCGTGAGCACTGTAGCAGTAATGTAGCGCTGATATCAGCACCAAAACGAGGGCTGGAGCTCGGGCCAACCTTGCCCTCGGGCCAGCCCAGGTTGCTGGGTTCCACCTTGTGCCTGGGCTTGGGCTCCTCGCTGGAAACGGATTTTCTCTTTTTTTTTTTCCCCCCCAGCCCAAGGCTTGGTCATGCCGCTGGAGTTGCTCTTAGGCCATCCCCAATAGGGGCTCTATTTGGGGCTCAACCACCACAAGGCTCCCATAAATACAAACTCTCCTTAAAAAGGCATCCCAATGGTGCAAATTTGGGGCTCTAAAACCTGAAGCCCAACCGAAGTAGTAGCTAAATGCATGTGCTTGGTTGAAGCCCTTGAAACCAAGTGGGTCCCGCAAGGAAAAAAGCTGCAGCCTACCTTTTTGGGTCTCTCACTTGCCTCGCGATTGTACAAGGCCATACTTGCCATTTTTTTGTTTTGTCAACAGAATGCTAAACCAATTTTTCAAAAGCTGTGTAAACGACTATATTGTTAAACCACTTTTTCAAAGCCAACAAATATATAAAATAAAATGTTGATTTCCAAATCTTGTCCAAATTTTGATATTTTTTGGTTGAAATGTTCAACAACAAAAAAACTAACATAACATTAAAGTAAAATAGTTAACAAAAAAAAAACCACGTAAATCAAATTACATCATAAAAAATATAGAGCCCGCCATGAATATAGGGCCTCCCATTGTGGGAGAGATTCCTTTAGAGCCCCAACCATTGGGGATGGCCTTAGGCTTCAATACATGTAGATATGCCTAAAAGCATCTACAATTATGCTCTTTATTTTTTAGTTAAAATTTAGAGGCCATTTGCACAATGTGAAAAGCAAGACTTTTCTCATACTCTACACCAATGTCAGCAACCCCAAATGAAGACCTAAATGTCTTCAATTTCAACCACTCATGTAATGCAACATGACTTATTGAGCATGCCTCAACGTATGAAGTGGGTTGTTGGTGGCTATGGGTCAAAAGTTGTCTAATGCACCATGCTGCTTAATATATAATAACAAGTATAGCAACCATTTTGTACCCTAAGTTTCAGAAAATTAAATATCATGGGCTTTAACAAGCTCATATCAGTTCTGTTTTTCTCATACAATTTTTGCATTCATGTCCTCATTCTTCACTCATGCCTTGCTTTGAGACGGAGTGAAAATGAGACAGATAAGCTGGCCTTGCTTGAAATCAAGTCCAGGATAACTGATGACCCTTTTGGAGTCTTGACTTCATGGAATGAGACCAACCACTTTTGCCAGTGGCATGGTGTCACATGCGGTCGGCGCCACCAGAGGGTCACGAGTTTGTACCTGAATTCCTCGAAACTTGCAGGCTCAATCTCACCTTATGTTGGGAATTTGAGTTTCTTGAGAGTGATTCATTTCTATAACAACAGCTTTAGGCATGAAATCCCTCCAGAAATCAGCCGTCTGCGCAGATTGAAAGATTTAGTCTTGGCGAATAATTCACTTGGTGGAGAAATTCCCACCAACTTATCAGCTTGCTCCCAACTCCTTAGGATTTCTTGTGGCTTCAACTTGTTAGTAGGAAGCATTCCAGAGGAGCTTGGCACCTTATCAAAGCTAAGAGTGCTTTCATTTTACAAGAACAGCCTTACAGGAAGTATCCCATACTCTTTTAGCAACTTATCATCTCTTGTTACTCTTGAATTATCTATAAATAATTTGACGGGGAGTATTCCAGATATTTTTGGTCAACTGACCAAGTTCAAGTATTTTGTTGCGGATGGAAATAGGCTGTCTGGTATTATCCCTTCCTCATTCTTCAATCTTTCTTCTATCCTACAGCTTGCAATTGCAAACAACAACATCCAAGGGACTTTGCCTTTAAACTTAGGTAATACCTTGCCAAATCTCATATATTTTGGTATTGATAACAACAAGTTTAGTGGACCTATTCCTGCTTCAGTATCTAATGCCTCAAACCTATATCATCTGGGACTGTTAGCAAATCAACTACATGGAGAAGTCCCTTCTCTGAAAAAATTGCACCTGCTTGAGCGTTTAGTTCTTACTAATAACCATCTTGGGAGCGGAGAAATTGGCGACTTGGGCTTTCTCTGCGATTTGGCTAATGCTACTCGTTTGCAAGTTCTGAACATCAATATGAACAGTTTTGGAGGTGTGTTTCCTCACTGCATAGCTAACTTATCTTCTTCTCTTAGACAGTTCATAGTTGCTGCAAATAAAATTAAAGGAAGTATCCCAAATGGAATTGGAAATCTGGTTAACTTGCAAAGCCTGTCCTTCTATATGAACCAATTTTCAGGACAAATCCCCCCTGATGTTGGAAAGCTTCAGAAGCTATATGAGTTAGATTTTTCTTTTAACTCCTTCTCAGGGAATATTCCATCCACTTTTGGAAATTTAAGTCAATTGTTTAAATTACTATTTGTTCGCAATAGCATTCAAGGCCATATCCCTACAACTTTATCTGAGTGTCACAGTTTGGTGGCCTTAATTCTGCGTGAGAATAATTTCACCGGTACCATTCCCCAGGGAGTCTTTGGCCTCTCTTCATTATCTGAGTTGGACTTATCTCAAAATCAATTGACCGGTTTGCTTCCCAAAGAAGTAGGAAGTTTACTAAATCTGGAGTATTTAGATGTGTCTCAAAACATGCTATTTGGTGAAATTCCGGCAAGTCTAGGTAGCTGTATAAAAACAGAACATCTAAACATGCAAGCAAACTTCTTCCAAGGGACAATTCCATCATCTCTACGTTCACTAAGAGGTATTGAAGATTTAAATCTCTCTCGCAACAATTTCTCAGGCAGGATTCCAGAGTTCTTGGGGGATTTTAAATTTTTAGAATCTTTGGATTTATCATATAACAATTTTGAGGGCATGGTACCAATCAAAGGAGTTTTCAGAAATGTCACTGCCACATCGGTCAAAGGAAACAGTAAACTTTGCGGCGGCATCCCTGAGTTTCGATTGCCAAACTGCAAACTTCAACATGCCAACAAGAGAAGATTGAGCCTAAGCATGAAATTGGTAATCTCTTTGGTTTGTGGGATACTTGGAGTCACTTTTGCACTAACTTTTTTGTACCTGCGTAGCTCACGGAGAGAAAAAAAGGAGCACACTTCAAGTGATTCAGACCAATTTCTCAAGGTGTCTTACCAAAGTCTTCTAAAAGCTAGTGAGGGATTCTCCCCTGCCAACTTGATTGGTAAGGGCAGTTTCGGGTCAGTTTATAAAGGAGTTATTGAGAACAGTGAAACAACAATTGCCATCAAGGTACTCAACCTCCTTCATCCTGCAGCTTCCAAAAGTTTCTTTGCTGAGTGTGAGGCCTTGAAAAATATTAGACACCGTAATCTTGTGAAGGTACTCTCTGCATGTTCGGGATATGATCATCGTGGTGACGATTTCAAGGCGTTAATTTATGCGTTCATGGTTAATGGGAGCTTAGAGGAATGGTTGCACCCGACTCACAATACGGGTGACACAAATGAGAAACCAAGGAGTTTAACTTTTTCTCAAAGGCTGAACATTGCTATTGACGTAGCTATGGCGTTGGATTATCTCCACCACCATTGCCAAACACCAATAGTTCACTGCGACTTGAAACCTAGCAATGTTCTTCTTAATGATGATATGGTTGGACATGTAGGAAGACCGGTTCTGTCCGGACCATAGGTGACTTTGGGTTAGTAAGATTCCTTCACAAAACTACTTATGGAAATCATTCGAGCTCCATGGGAGTAAAAGGAACAGTTGGCTATGCTCCTCCAGGTGACCAATCCTTTCTTTCAACATTCCTTATAAAGTTTCTCATATTGATTTTAAAAGTTTAAATCACGAAAAACAGGCCTTTTTGAGAATTTAATAATAAATTACAATTTGTTGTGTTTCGAATTGTTGTAATGCAGAGTATGGTATGGGACATGAAGTCTGGACACAAGGTGATGTGTATAGTTACGGCATCCTACTGTTGGAAATGTTTACAGGAAAAAGGCCGACAGATGACATGTTTCATGGAAGTTCAAACCTTCATAACTTTGTCAAGGCAGCCTTACCTGAACAGGTGGTAGAGATTGTGGATCCCGTTCTTGTTCAGGAAATATTGGAAGGTGAAATGAGCGCGAAAAATCTTCCTAATGAGGATAGCGTTAGGATTCGCATCAAGTTTGAGAAAATCTTGATTTCAATTTTAGAGATTGGTGTTGCTTGTTCTGCAGAGTTTCCTGGTGAACGGTTGGACGTTAGTGATGCTATAGCTGAAATGTGTCGCATAAGGAACAATCTTTAACAAAATAGAATGTTTGAATAAAGCATGTTAAATGCCATAGAAATGTGCAAATGTTGTATGGGACATGTATGGAATATTATAGTAAAATTATTAACTATGATTGTTGTATTACTGTTATTACTCTTATTTTTCAATGCAATAAGTTAATAATAACAGCACTCTGCTTTTTATATATTTTTCAATGAAAAAATATTTTTTTTGACACCATTTCACCTTAAGAAATGGGGATTTTTCTTTTATTTTGTGGCATGTAGCTGCTATAATAGAATTCAAAATCAGCCCTTTTCCCATACTTCCTTTTCGAAAGCGTAAAAACCAGCACTTAGGGCACGTATCGCACACTGGGCTTTCTAAGTGTTTCTAATTTTGTCCTTAGGCTTCAAAACCTGCTATATATGCCCAAGTGTTTGAATTACGTATATAAACATTAGAAACAGGGCGAGCCTACATGGAGGGCAGACTGGGCTGTTGCCGGCCCATGTTTGTGGAGGCTTTGTTTACTCATTGCGCCTTTGTGGAGGCTGGTTGGGCAGAGGTTTTATTGTCGCCATCAATGTTTTGGTTGGCTAGGCAGAGGTTTTGTCTCCATCTAGGTGACTTTCCGTAATTTTTTGCTTTTGTCGCCATCAATTAATGATTTCCTAAATCTCTTAAGCTTCGTTTAAATTGAAGGCATGAATATTGTGTTTTGAGCACTTAGAAATTAAGGTGATTTCATATTTTAGATTGTGTAAATGCAGAGTATGGTATGGGAAATGAAGTCTGGACTGGACACAAAGATCAACAGATGGGATGTTTAAAGGAAGTGTAAACCTTCATAAATTTGTCAAGAATGCTTTTTGACTAATCAGGTTGAACAGATTGTGGATCCTATTCTGGTTCAAGAAAATGGGGAGGGGGTCATGATCACAGAAAATACTCGGCCCCGTTTGGTTCACGGAATGGATTTGAGGGGAAATCAATTCCCATGTCATTTCCCAAGGAATGGGAATGAAAGATTCCTTTCCCACGTTTGGTAATGTTGGGAAAGTAACCGGGAGATTTCACTTTGTTTCCTTTCCCATGTTTGTTTTGAGTAGGAATAGAAAACAAAGTTTGTATAATTTTCCAATTATATCCATATTAAATCAAATAAAAAAAAGAATGCATTTAATGATACGTTGTAATTATAAATTGTTCATAGGGACAAAATAGTCATGAAAATTGTGCATTGAATGTTGGCTCATTTTCCCAAACTTTCCCATGAGGAGGGAAACCAAAACCCAAGTTAAGAGGAGGGCATCACTTTCCCCCCTACTTTCCCATGTGCCAGGAATCCGTTTCCCATTCCCGGACTTAACAAACATGGGAAAGCAATTGATGAAAGGAATTGAATTCCCATTCCCAAGTCTTCTTTCCCATGAACCAAACAGGGCCTACAAAGGCTTGTATCAAGATTCGAGAAAGCTTGATTGCCATTTTAGAAGTTTGTGCAGCTTGTTCTGCGAAGTTGCCATGAGAACGGTTGGACATTTGTGATGCTTTTACAGAGATGTGTCGTATACGAAAGACACTTTGAGCGAATAGAATATGTGAATAAAAGCATATTTCTATATGCTGTAACGCACATTGTTCCTTATTTCAAAAATCACATTCTTGCTTTGCATCTAATCCAAATTTGGGAGTCTCAGAGGAGTGCAGAAATGAAATGAAGAGGCTTTCATATTTGTTTGATCAGTTAAGTGTTGTTAATGTGTTGTCCAGCAGACTTGAATTGATTTACTCTGAAAAATGTATGGCTTGCTAATTCATAATCATGCTACTGCTTACCTAAAGAGTTCAGAAATACATGGTCCTATAATCAATTAGTATCTAGCTGACTATTTTTCTTCAAAGAAATATTTGATACGTACAAAGAGAATCAATCTATTAACGTGCGTAAATTTGGAATGAACACTATTATGTGGAACTGGTGTCAAACAATTCTCAATACTTAGATCACCAAGCAGATGTATGAGACATTGGTTAAATTTAAATTCACTCTTGATCAAAGCATAAATGTTGAGAGACTGGTGGCGACTAGTGTTGTTTCCTTTACTTGCATGCGGTGTTTTAGCTTTTGCTTTTAATTTCAATATAATTTTAAGAGCCAGTTTGGGATTGCTGTCACTTTTTAAAAAAGTTGCTTCTGCTGTGCTTTGAAAATAATTAGTTGTAAAGTAAAACAACTACATGTTTGGTAAACAATATAAAAATGTTCGGTAAATTTTAATATAAAAATGTTGTAACTGTGAATAATGACTAAATAGACTGTTGAAAGTGCTATGCGCTAATTATGTGGTGGTAGTAGTGATGGTGGAATTGGTGGTGAAAGAGATGGAGGTGAAGGTGCTGATGATCGGTGCATATTTACATATCATTTTGTACCCTTCTAACTTATGATTTGGTTATGTTTTTGAGTTAAAATTGTGCTTTTAATAAGTTTTGTGTTTGTTTCAGTGTTATAAGCTTGAGACTCACTAATTGCATTTTGGAGACAAGTTAGCTCAAAACGGTGTCTGCAGATCAGTCAACTTCACGGATTGGACTGTACTTGCTCAAGAAGAACCAGATGATGAGCCATATATCATTGGAAATATACGGAAGTCTAGTTTCTGTATAATTTTACGGTTCATGATTCCGAGTCTTCTAGAGAAAGTTATACATGTTTTGGCAACTTAAGGTCAAATTCGGCAGCATCTGCGTTACTGGGACAAAAATCACATTTGAAGGGCTTTCCGATTTTTCCTTGAGTTGGGCTGCATATTCTTGGAAAGATAATTCAAAGAGCTTCAAGATCCATATTTTTCCAGATTTTTCAGATTGGAGCCACAAGCCCAAAA